CCTTCACACAATCCATCCATACTTTCTTCGGTCTTCCTCTTCCTTTGTAGCCATCCACATTCAATCTCAACACTTTCTGGTTTATGTCCCCTATCGTCTCGTCGTATAACATGTCCATACCACGCTAACCTTTTGCTTCTCAATTTCTCCACCACTGGCGCTACTTTCAAACATCCTCTAATGTACTAATCTAGCATAATTCTGTAACCAATTAAGTATGCATTTCAGGAACGAACAAGAAACGCTCAGTTCATAATAATATCTTTACGGTACAATATGTTTGAAGCATCAAACCGTTTAGTTGGCATTTATAAGACTGAGGACTGCACGAAGTCCGTCACTATAGAGAACAAGGTGCCCGATCTGCCGGTAGGCGACGCCGCAGCATGAAGCTAGAAAGAAAATACACTTAAATACTTTTTTGTTTTTAAACTAAGCATTCTATGTGATTTGGGTGTAGTTTTGTTATTAAATGTTTTGTAAAGTATAGAAAATAGTAAATAAGAATGAAAATAATTAATATGGCAGTATTTTATTTTCTGTTTTTCCCCATTACTTGGTTAGAAAACTTATAAAAAGTTTTGCAATTTGTTAGGTGACAATATCAAGTTTCTTTAAAAAAAAAATTTTATACAAGCAAAAGGTTGACATCGACACAGCTAGATATTACCACGTAGTGACATCTATGTCATTCTGAGGAACTAATTTTACTCAACATTCAACGAGGACCAGGGTAGTGCAATAGATGTAGCTGCAACTCTCGCCTATGTCAATGTATGGAGTGTCCCGGCCCTGCTCTCACATTCACTAACTATAAATTGGAATTTTTCAAATGGTATATAAAAAAAAGTCTCATTTTTAAAATACTATACCCATTGAAGTATATTTTATATTGTTTTAAAAGTAAAATTTTGTTTCATATTAAACAAATCATTGAAATTACTAAAACAGGACCATAGCAAAGTGTTATAACTCGCAATTTATCATATCTTAACTCAATCCTTACAACATAAATAGTACATGCACAACTAATAAATGTTGGCAAATGTAGTTACTGGTTTTTGGATGATTTAAATTATTACTTGGTAGCATGTAGTTTATAATTACGTAAATAAGAAAGTTATTCTATTTCTTGTTTATGGTTCTCCCACAGCGGATTGGGCCAGTGTCGTTTGTTTTTTTTCTAATTTGGGAGAAACTGGCAACAAAACTCTGCTTATGGAGAAAGTTTAGATGGATAGATAGATGTTTCTTAGTCTTTGTAGCCTAAAATGCTGCCGGATTTTGATGAAATTTGATATCTATACCATAGACTATACATTTATGAGGATTAAATTATTGTATAACAATTGTACTGTGAATTAAACAAATGAAACACGAAGTAACATCATTTTAAATATTTATTTTTCGAATTAATTGAACATCTCGATATACAAAATATATTTAAATTTAACAAAATAAATTAGCTTAATTATAACGCGTTGAGTAGAACAAGCAATAAGTCGAACAGAAAAGCGAGAATCCAAGTGCTATATCCTCACTTAAGTAAATTTCTTTTAAATCCATCAACTGTATTTGTTTACAAGAACAAAATACTCCGTGACTGTCAAAAAACTTATACAAAAACAAGTTTTTATTTAAACAATTCGTGTAAAAGCGAGAAAGGCGTGCAAAGTATAGACATACCTTTTTTTCTAAACACTCTTAGCGTTACAAATAAACGCGATATAAAATTAAACTTAGGTAAAAATTTAATATAAGCAAATATTAGTAAAAATTTTGGTTATACTCAATTTATTCCTAAAGTTAACTTTATACCGCGTTTATTTGTAAGAATTAAAGTTTTAACTGCACAGATGTCTGTTTTAACCAAACAAAGTTCAGTTTAAACTCAGAAATGAGGTCTACAGCGGGTGAACAGAACTGTTAAAATTGACGTGTATAATACAATTTTAACCGTCAGTTTCATTGTTTACTGTACAATGAACAGGTAGTAATTTTGCCTCAGAGATTAAAGAAATATATAGAATAGGCATTATTGTCACTTCACTTGACATTTTACACATAATATTTAAATGTTTACCTTTAATTTTGCGATACTATTTATTTATAACAAAAAATGCATCTTATGATACTAATATTATAAATACAAAAGTCTAGATTGATGTTTGTTAGAGTTTGTAGCCTAAACGGCTGAGTGGATTTCGATGAAAATTGGCATAATATAGAGGATAGTCGGGAAGAACACATAGGCTACTCACTTTTGTTTTTTTTTCATAATTCCACGCGGACAGAGTCGCGGGCGAAAGCTAGTAATTTTATAAAATGTCACAAATACACGAGGTACTAAACTTGACAACTGATATAGTACCTGTCAGAGAAAGTACCAGTGAAAATGCCTAGTCTATATATTTCTTGAAAGTTTTTAATACGATTTCTACTGTTCAGTTAAAACTTGTCCAATAAAAAATATTAAATCTCGTTAACAAGTATCATAACTTCAGGCTTCAAGTACACGTCTTTATTAGGACTGTTGCTGATCTCTTCGATGATGGAGGGGTCCCAGGAGAAGGTGAGAACGGTGGCTGGCACCAGCCGCAGGTCCACGAGGGTGCTGGCGCCATCTTCAGGCGTCAACTTGTGTCCGGTGGGGGTGCTGAGGATGAAGGGCAGATCTCCGAGCTCCAAATGTTCTTGTACGAACTCGTGTATATCATTGTAACGTTCATACACTGAGAATGTTCCCTGGAAATTTGAAATTAATCTCAAACATTAGATTGTACGTAATTGTAGGAATTAAAGAAAATTAGTAGTCTACTAGCTTTTGCCCGCGACCTCGTATGCTTGGAATAAAAAAAGTGAAGCCTGTGTTCTTTCAACTGTCTAGTCTAGAATTCTAGAACACAGGGAACAACATTTTTTTTATTCGTAATTTCTTTGAGAGATTATGTTAGTTACCAAATTTAGTGCCACTTTATGATCTTTTATTGACCTGTTAATTTTTTTATTATAAAAAAATGACCCTATTGACAATTAGTTCGAATAAAATTAATTACATTGACATGTTCTGAGGACCTTTTAATAGATAGCGATAGTGAGATTATGAAAAAAGTGTCAAGTGAAGCCTATGTCTCCTCTATATATCGTTTGAATCTCTTTGGTTATTGAGTAACATGGGGTACATTTTTAAATAGTAACAGTTAATGAACGATATATTCAGCGAGGGTAAGCGCAGGGTACCTGCAGCAGGATGCCGTCGGGGAAGCGCACCCTGACGAGC